GGCCATTTTTTGGTTGCAGCCGTCATTGTTGTTTGGCGGGTCCGGGCTGGGGATTTGAACCTGCCACCTTAGGTGTATGTGGCTGGTGCCTTAGCCAGTTGAACTATAGGCGCTGAGCCTATATTATGAAATTAATTTATGGGTTTCATATGAAAGCTATAACCTAATAACAGCCTAAGAATATGGGGAGGGGGAGGGAAAGTGAAGGGGAGAATGAGTGGAGGGAGTGGGATTGGAGGGATCACTTCTGTGGTTTATCTTATAAGGGTACAAGTGAATCTAAGAGTAGAATATGAACATTTTAACACAATAAGAAAATGACATGAAGGCTATGTTAACCAGTTTGTTGGAAATGGTTTAAATTGTATGTGAAAACACCACACTGTACCCCAGAATTGCATTAATGTATATAGTCACCATTCAATTTAAAAAAAAAAAAAGAAGGAAAAAGAAAAGGCAAAAAAAAAGAAAAAAGATAACTTTTTAGAAATGCTTGGATTTTTTGCCACATATATATACTTAGTTTTGCCTTACAAAAATATTGAAATCATTTTGATTTGGCATGTCTCACAGAAATGCTGCATTCCCATAGAAATCTTCTTTCAATAATTCACATTGGTCATTCTGTTCTTTATAAAATTTAACTGTCCTTGACAAAATTTTGGCTAACACCTGACCCTGCAGTAGCCAACACAATTTAGAATGATACAACAAATCCATACTGAATACATTATTCTTCAACTTTAGCATGTGTGAAACTGACAATGCTGTGTTGCATTTGTACTAGTAGAATTAATGGCAAAGTGTCACTTAATAGTAGCATCAGCACAGAGATTTTGCTGATGCAAGCTACAATGAAAAGAAATAAGAACATCTGGATTTGTTAATAAATTCTTTTGAGACGAGTCTTACTCTGTTGCCCCAGGCTAGCTTGCCATGGCATCAGCCTAGGTCACGGCAACCTTAAACTCCTGGGCTCAAGTGATCTTCCTTCCTCAGCCTCACAAGTAGCTGGGACTACAGGCACCCGCTACATCGTCTGGCTAATCTTTCTATTTTTAGTTGAGGTAGGGGGTGGGAGTCCTCACTCTTACTCAGGCTGGTCTCGAACTTCTGAGCTCATGCGATCCACCTACCTCAGGCTCCCAGAGGGCTAGGATTATAGGGGTGAGCCACTGTGCCTGGCCAAAAATAAGATAATGTTGCAATTTCCAGTCCTCATTAAAAAATCTGTTTTCTTCCTTCAGTGTTCTCTTGGTCTTCTTTGACATAATGGGCTGTTAAACAAACAGAATTTAGAAATACTGTTGAGCTATGCAACTATTCACTAATTCCACTTCAAGCAGAAACATAGTGTACCTCTGTGAACAGCTGATAACAGACTGCTGTACTCAGCCCTCATAAACAAGATCTTGATAGTCAGCCTCATATGGTATTGGTGCCAGGCAGGCATGGCAAGTTAGAACTAAATCATGAGTGTAGCAGCCGTCCATTTAGCCCTTATGGCATACTAATTTCTAATTGTGTTTGTTAATCTGGGAGGATTATTTTGTTGAAACTTACTTTATTCTTTGGTATTTTAAATACGTTAATTTAAAAAGCAAA